GTGATGCTTCACAATGCACAATAAATGTGGGAGGGCTGAAGGCTTTGGCATTCCACCCAAAGATTAGCAATTCCAGCCATTAACACTACACCACGGGGTGGAGGATGAAACCAGAAGGTTGCTGTGCAAGAACCATCCACATCGGGAAATTCTCCCTTCCCTCCCACTTGGACGTGCCCATCTTCTGCAGAAGCCTCAGGTCAGGGAGCTCGAGGCACTCGAAACCCTGTGAAATTTTTATTGCACTAAATCAGAGCAGCCCCAGGTGTTCCTAACACTTCTCAGTATTTTTCCCAGCATAGGTATAAAAGCCTGCTAGTTGGGAGGGACAGGGGACGGAGCGACACTCCTGGCTCAAGGTGTTTCCAAAGAGCCTTTAATATCATAACCTGACAGCTCCTGAGCTCCACGGACCGTGAAGCATCTGCTGCTGGGTGTAGAGGAGCTGATGCATGCCAAGGCATTGCTCAGGGCTTGACAGCTCCTCACTGATGGGAGCAGCATGCCTACAAAGCAGCAGCGATGAGGAAACGTCTCCACTGCAATTACTGAAGATGTCAGGAGAGGATGGAGGCAGAAAGGAAAGCGTTGCAGCAGACACTGCAAAAAGCCCCTTTAAATAACTTGCTTCTGTGCTACACTGAAAGATGAGAGGTTTTGTTTTGTTGTTTTGTGATAAATTCTGAACAAGTCATATTTTTAGGACAACAAAAACCCAAAAATCCAACCTTGAGGGCCCCGCATTTCATTGACCATCAGTCCTGACAGCCTCAAAGGCTTGCAAAGTAATCCACTCCTGCTCTTGGATTTGCACCTCATTAGCTCCAGTTTCATCATCTTTCCAGATTCTTAATAAGAATGTGGTTTATTAGACACTCAGGTTAACACCTGTAGGATTTGGGCATTCAGATTGCAAATTTCTGAAAGGGATTTCATCGCTAACACTGCTCTTTTCACTCACAACATCCCAGGGGTGTTCACAAGAGTAACGGGAGGTAAAAAAGATGATACAAGTCCCATGAAAGGCACCACTCATGCAGTAGATGAAGAGACCCCCATTTAAATATGGGGTAGATGACACTGAAATTACAGAATTTCTGTGCTTTCTGTTATTTCAGTCATCTGGGATCCAAAGGTGCCAATTTGGGTTTCAGTCCCAGGTATTCCTTCTGTATGCAATCAAACCAGGCACCTAGCCTTCCCTCTTCTCGGCAGTTTTGGAGAGGAAAAAGATGGTATATGCACCAAAACCAGGACAAGATGGAAAGGTTCAGTGGGAATGGGAGAGACAAGAAGAGATCCCAGTTACATTTTGTTCACCTCCACTTGTATCTCGGAAGGGTTGATGGCTGGGAAGCATGGTTATCAATCAAACCTGTCACCAAGCAGAGAAGCCCTTTGCAAATAGCTATATTATTTTATCCCCTTTGACAGCAAATTAAATAGAACTGCAAAACTCTCAAGACTTCAATATTTAGTAACCACTAAAAACAGCCAGCCAATGAACATAGCTACTTCTCGTTGCTGGATAGATTAAAAATTATCATTGCAATTTTCTTCTGCAGAACGTCTCTTCCCCCAGTCCTGCCCAGGATGATTTCCCAGGTGTGATATTTGCTGTATACAAACAACATGGCTTTGGAATCAATTAAAAAAGAACAAAACCAGCTGATAAATCTAACTTTGTGTTTATACAACGCAACCCATCAATATCTCCCATGTGGATACCGATCCTGCAAGAGCTCTGGATGGATTTTAAAAGATGCTGCAGCCAGCTCTGGACTCTTCCTTGGAAGCAAGAGCTGTTCTGGTGGTGTAATACCCAGCAGCAGGTCATTTCGGGTGAAGTACACAAGCTGCACATGGAGCATTGTGTTTATACACAGCAATTAGCCGTGCCGCTCTCTGTGTGTTTAATTGCTGGCAGTCCATCAACAGGATCATGCTGTCCGGAAGCTACCTTGGAAGTTGCCATCTGAACTTTGGACCTTTTAAAGCATGCCTGGCCACTACAAACCAAAGCTTATTTATCCACATTTTCTGCGTTCAGGGAGATAGAGCCCTGTTAAGAAGATGCAGTGATTTCCTAAGGACTTCCTTGGTTGAATAACCATTGAACAAGCTGTAGTTAGAGCAGAAATCGCTCCTTCACACCAGCTACAGAGATTAGCATGGTCTGAACTTCAGGAAGATGATTTTTCTTTTACATATCTTTCACTAAAGAAAAAAAAAAAAGGAAAGGAGACCTTGCCAGTAAATCTGAAGCCACGCAATAGAAGAAGAAATTTTACAGCTGTTTAAACTCAATTTAAAAAGGAGACCAAGTGTGCAGGTTGCTCTCAGCCCCCCTCCTGCACTCTCAAAAGGAGAAATGAAGAGTATAGGGGTGGGATCAGGAAAGCTGAGGCACATTCTTCCCTCTGAGGGCGCTGAGGCCCTGGCCTAGGCTGACCAGAGGAGCTGGGGGTGCCCCAGCCCTGGCAGTGCCCAAGGTCAGGCTGGATGGGGCTGGGGGCAGCCTGGGTGATCCTTAGGGCCCCTTCCAACTGAAGCCATTCTAGGAAGGCAAGAAATAATTTAAATAATAGAAATAAAAAAGTTCCAGCACGCAGTCTCCCAAAACAAACTTGGGATTCAAGCTTACAATTAAAATCCTAATTTTCATGCAAATTTGCATTTCATGGGAAGCCTGAGCTGCATAAAATTGGAGGAAGAGGAGCAGAATCATTAGAACTCTGTCTGCTGAGCAGCAGCGCTATTCAGAAAACAAACGTTCGTGATCATCAGATTTTAAGGATACTCTTTGCGACGCTGGGTCATAGCCCACTGTTAAGTGAAAGCTTTTCATTCTAGAAAACTTGATCTTTTTAATAGAAAGCAATGCAGGGTGCATCATGGCCATCTAAAATAAATTGCTCTCTAATTATCAGAAAGCAAAGCACATATTCAAAATGTATAGGTGTAATATAAATACACACACCCCTTATTTTTCCCTTCTCAGGTAGCTCTAGATTTTTGCAAGACCTCCCAAAGCATGGAATATATATTTATTTTAATATATATAATAGAAACTACACTTACAAAGGTTTATTAGACTGCATTTGGTTCTACCCTGGGTTTGCAGTGGCTGAGTTACTATAGGGATGGATACAGGGTAACAGCATAGCTCTTGTCATCAATATGCCACTGCCTTTGTGCAAAGCAAATAGGCACTTAAGTTATGGTATGATATTTTCCTAGCTAATCTCTCGCAGATATAGCCAAATACCATGTCAGTATTCACACACATGCAAACAGACCACTTCAGAGGACAACCAGCTCTCATTTGCACTTTTTTTTTCTACCCTCACCCCATAGTGCTACAACTGTTTATCTCAGCACCTGACTACCTGAGAGGCAGTTTATTGACAGCAAGATGGGGACAGATTCTTCACACCTTGGTTTTTCATAGTCAGCTGCTAATTTTAGACCTACTCTTGCTCACACAAAAGATAAGCTTTCTCCATTTGTGCCTCTGAAGTGGAAGTTGAAACCCCATGTAGGCTTAAAACAGGCTCAGAGACCAGCCAAGGTACCTTTAAACACAGCAAATTCTTATCCAGCACCAGAAAAACAACTGAAATTCCAAGTAGCGTTGGAAAGCTGCCACTGATATTTTCAGGTAAAAATTAAAATCAGTGCAATTGGAGCCAGATTTCAATGAGAAGTTATGTCAATGGCAGTTTTTCCTATGGGTTTTTAGCTCAGATACATATGTTCTGGTTCATAAGACGTCAGGAATAAGGCATTTTGAGTATTTAAATTAGTACACGCATGCATGCCAAGACATTACATCCCACTGTTTTCCTGACCAAGTCTTCAAAACCCAACTACACCCTCCGCTGCGGATGTGCCTGGGTGTTTGCTCAAAGGAAACTTGCTGCTGGCTCAGAAAAAACAGTCACTGAGAATAAGCTGGCCAGACAGAGAGGAGGGAAAACAGCACAAACACTTCTACTCTGCAAAAGGAAATTTGTTTTACGCTGCACAAACACAAGCCATGACTTCTCAATTCACATGGGAGCTCCCAGCCAAGCTGCGCCACCAACAATTGATGCGATTCAGAACCAGGAGGACTCTGGCATGGGATCCGCTGCCCAGAAGTGTTTTCTCCTTAACAGTCTCTTTTCCAGAGAGGCACTCCACAGCCTGAAAGATTCCTGGTTACAGACTTAAAAGTGAAACAGCAAGCTGTCACCAGAGCAAAACTGAGCCCTCAGAAAGCAATGAAAGTGTCTCCTGGGAGCACTGCCAGAGCAAGTGAGATTTAAGTTTTGCTTTGTGATTTTTTTTCTCCTTCTTTAAGTAATAAACACACACACACACAAAAGACAACACAAGCACAGAAGAGCAGTAATTTCATCTTTTGGGTAATAGTTGTTGTACACATGACAGCTTTGAAGCTCTGACAGCATTTTTTTCATCCTCCTCACTGCAACCACAGCAGGTCCTAGGGACCCATCTCCCAGCCCCAAATGACCAGGGACACACAAGTCTGGCCCCAGCTGCCTGGATTCCCTCTGCCAGAGGGAATATAAGCTGTATTTGTGCAGGAGAGGGAACAGTCACTTCTAACAGCTCCTCTGTTCATCCCCAGCTGGTTCTCACCTCCCGCTGCCTTCACCTACCTACAAAGGTATTTCCACGCGTACAAAGCAATGCAGGTTCCGTATATTTGGCCAAAGATGGAGCAAACACACAAATGATGGAGGATTAAGGAGAAAAAAAAAACTCCCCCCAGCACCAAAAGGGAAAATAAGGACAGATTTAACCAGACCCACACCACTCAACCCCACTGAGCACCAAGACCAACAACCCGTGCCCATCTGTTCTATCACCCACAGGCTGAGGACTTCTTCCAGATGCAATTCATAAAAAAACAACACAAAAAAAAAAAAAGCACCCAGCATTTCCCTTGCATTCAAAGCTCCTGGGCTGGGTTTTCACGGTCCGCTACCCACCTTGGTGGTGTCATCGTGCGAGCGCTGGTACCGTTTCCAGCGGCAGCCGTAGATCCCCGTCAGACAGGACAAGCATAGCTGCGGCTCGTAGTACTGCAGCGGCTGGTGTTTAACCATGCTCCTTCCAGCCCCTCAGGAATGGGGTATCAGAAATCCATCAGGTCCTGGGAGCGCCCTTCAGCAAGAGAAAAAAAAAAAAAAGATAGAGGGGGGAAGGAAGTTAGAGGTGCCAAGTGATGTTTTAATACTTTAACAAGCAATTTAATAATTAACCATGTCCTCTGGCTATTGAGAGAGAAGAAATGATAATCAGATCTATTCCCAGCCCTGCTAATGTCTCCAGCTTGTTACTCAACAAGACTGAGGAGTTTAATTAGTCTGCGAGTTTTATTTCCTCGCGCTGTTTCTCCCACACCACTGAAGAGGAATGCATTCATAGGAGCTACCGGTGAGAGAAGCCACGCAAGGACAAGAGCAAGAGATAGACTGCTTGCTGCCCGATGATTAGATTCATAGAAATGATTGAAATGTAAAGAACCGTACCCTCTGCAAGCACAAACCTTAAAATTGATTCAGAGACCTCTGCAAAGCTGAAACCCTGCCAAGCTAAATCAGTTTACGGCGAGCGTCCTACGGAGGCTGCAAAATGGTCCCAGGCTAGGAGCTAACACTTCCGTGCAGGCTGCAAAGAGGCAGATATTTCCCCCCTACCTTTACAGCGAACATTCACCAGGATGCAGAGCTGGCTGCAGCCTTCCCCCACCACGGTTCCCTCTCTACCAAGCAGCATCCACTCCCAAAGGACCAGCCTGACTCTGATGCTCAGTTTGCCACGCGTGGGAACACCACTGCTTGAAGGGAAAGTACTTCGCTCTATCGATTACACGCTCCGTGCGTCACAGGGCTTTTCTTTTTTTTTTTTTCTCATTATTACATATTTAGAAGCTTTGCTTTTATCTCCGGTGAGATTCATATCAAGAACAGACCGAGTCACCGTACATTCTTACTAATTCATAGAGTAAACGTTCAGGGATGGGAACCTCAGAGCAAACGCTCGCCAGTCTCGTGGCGTCACATCGCCCTTTCGGCTGTGCTCGCTCCCACCAGGGGTTTTCCAGTTTCCTCGTGCACAAGCACACACCCACAGCCCACACGCTGCTGTCTCCTGGATAATCAGTGCTGGTTGAGTGATGCTCAAGGGCCATTGAGCTTGCAAAGTGTTTTGTTACCTTTCCAGAGTGCACGCAGTATGTGGGCAGTAAGCAAATTGCACTTTCTATAAGGCTTCATGGCCACATATGTAGGATGCCCAGTGCTCAGGTCTTGCAAAAAGCTGCTACAGCTTTGAGCAGCAATATCCTCACTGACAGCAAAGCCTGACGTGGCTTGAAAAAGTATCTTAGCCCTCTGAAAACCCTTCATTGCCATGTCCTATGGAGGGAAGCCTCAAAGAACTAGGCTGACCCCCTATTTCTCATTTTAGCCACATCCCCTGAGTTCATCCCCCTCAGGATGGACGCACAAGCACATCAAGTCTGAAATATCAGACTTGAAATATCAGTGTCCTGAAGACCACGGTTGTTATGAGAAAGCTTTCATGAACTAACCTCAAAAGGACAGCATCTACCCCCATTTCCACCTCTTCTTTATCTAGTGATAAGGACAAACAGACCCTCTCCATATTCAAGAGCTTTGACCAGGTGTTTTATTTGCTGGCTTACAGGAATCACATTGCAAACTCAACCAGGAGTGCTATGCTTGAGCATTTCATCGCCCCACTCTTCGACAGCCACTAGCTCTTGTCCAGCCCAGACACCTGGAGAAGTGGTGCCATACAGCAGCGTGCCAAAGCTGGCAAGGCTCACTTTTCAAACAAAAACCCAATTCATCCAAAATGCCAAGAAGCTGTGAACAGAAAGTGCCTACAGCAGTAATAAAACCCATATTCTGTGCAAGTCTTGGATCCACCGGTCCTTTAGGGAAGTTACAGCTAGAGCATTTATGAATGAATCTACATGAAGCTTCATTTGCTTTATAATTCAAAGTTTTACAGATGGGAGACTTAGTCAGCATCATTACAGCACGATGATGTACCTGGGGTTTCCAGAGACAAGAGCTACATCCATCCATATGTCCTTACGTACCAAAAGAGATCACAATCTAAATGGATGGCAACAGGGGAAAAAAAAAAAAAAGGATAGAAAGCAAGAGAAGATGACAGTCCGTGCTGCTGTTTGACAGGAGTGGTCTATAGATGCTCAAAGAGTAAACCAAGGCAAGGGAATACTCATAAGCTTCCAGAAGTCTTCTAGGACAGGTCTGAGACACAGACTGCATGTTCAACCTCCCCCAAAATAAGAACAACTAAATAGACTTCTATCTGGGAATGCAACTTGGACCCCAGACATTCATAAATACAGGGGAGGGGAAGCATGGGAAGCTTGGATAAAGCTTCAGTCTAACATTTTCAGGTACACAAAGAACTTTCATCTCAGGGCTATCCCAAGGATCCCTGAATCAAGCAGTTCAAGACCCACGCACACCTCCTCATGATGGCTTATCCAGCAAAGCCAACAGTTAAAGGCATGAGCTTTCACCATGGTAAGCTGCAGATCCACAGCTAGAGGTACCAGAGCCTTTTCAAATAGCATTGCATCGTTTTAATAAGGTACAAGTGCACTTCATCGGTGAAGACGGACCAGCAATTGACCCTTCTTCCTAAAGAAAAACGCTCACCAGCAGACAGAGGAGATGCAAACGGTTCAAGTTTACTGTCCAGTTCTGAAAAGCATCCACCAGCCTCCCACAGCAGCATCTAAGCCAACATCCCCCAGACTCCTGACACAGTTTAGGAGGGTTTGAGTGCTTTCAGTGTAAAAGGGCAGCCAAAAAAGCACATTTGTTGATCAATACCATCACCAGAAGGCACCTCTGAGAAGTTTTATAAAATTTGCAAGGCAAAATACAGCTAAGAAGTCTCTGTGCCCCACCAAGTGAAGCTGTTGCCCTCATCCTCTTGCTGAACCACCACAAGGACACATGCTATAGGACCCCATAGATTTCGGGTGCAGCAGCTCTTTCATCCCTTTCAGACTGCCCTCCATAAGAGAAGTCAAAAGCCCAAAGAAGAAATCCGACATAAGTTTAGAAAAAGACATTCCTAAACATAGCAACTTGAGCACCTTTGACTTGAACCACACAAGACACAGCCTCCAAGCCTAAAATCATCCCCTCTTCTCCATCAACGTCATCAGGAGATGCACAGAAGCCCCACGCAGAAAGGAAAATAAACAACACAGCACCCGTCCTCCCCGCCACACCTACACAGACCAGGAGGTATGGGAACAGACTGAAGCACAGCAAGCACGATGCTGGTGCTCAAGACAAACCACAGATAAAGTTGCCAAATTGATACCAGAGCTCCTTGCCCAGCTGAGATCACAGACTGTATACTTACTTCTGCCTCCAGAAACGGATTTAATGGAGAAAAACAGAAAGTCCGCACCTTACAATCAGTGTTCCCATGACATCTACAGCTTTGAGGTGGAGAAAGCAGGCTATGAATGATTCAAACCTCTGCTGGTTAGCGTTACGTACAGAAATGAAAACAGGAAGCAAGACAACACACATTAATTATTCAAATCCAGCAACACGCACCAGAAGGAGGAAAAAAAATAAAATAAAAAAAAGCAAACGCACATAACCCATCCTCCTTGATTTTAAAGATGCATCAGCTGCCAATAGCTACAAACATCTTAGGTCTGAATAACCAGGTTTGGCAGCCGGCTTGTCCCAAAAGGGAGAGCAGGGAAGAGTCCATCTGAAAATACAGTAGGAGCATTTTCTGAAGGCTCTGGGATGCCTAATTAGCACACACTGCATTCCTGAGGTCCTGGGCTGTGGGTATCCGTTACAGCCCGCGACACATTATTCCTTTCCAAACAGCTTTGGAACAAAAAAAAACGGCAAGAGAATCCAAGCTGCAAATTTAAAAGGGAAGCTCTCTGGGGAGATTTGGCCTAAAAATTTGGATTTATTTTTTTTTCCTGTATGAGTTAACTCCTCCATCGCTGTAGCCTTACAAGCCTGGAGTTGGGAGAAAACAGAGCAAGCAGGACTGATTATTAAACATCATTAAACCATCTCAATGTAATCATTTTAGCAAAGGGAAGAGCAGCAGCACAAATCCTTCAGTGCGCTGGGTAAATAATGTGAATGAAACCATGGAGTATCAGGTTTAGTAGCACCTAACCCTCTCGCAAGGCTTGGTACAGCCCAAGCCCTCCCCTGTAATCCATCTCCAATTTTGTATTTAATCAACCCAGTTTCACCCAGGTCAGGCTGATCTCATCCAGCAACTTGGGACAAGTCTTTTAATAGCCCAAAGACCAGCAGCTTACTGCACATCCAGCAGTATTATGGACATTAATATTCCGAATGCCTGCATGGTTTGACCAGGATGGTTTGAGGGATGAGCTGAGAGCAAGGGGCTGCTGCCTGCCTTACCTCGACCTCCTACCTCCAGCCTTCTCCCAGATTCCCTGAGCTGGTACAGTACCATACATGACTTCTTGCTCAAGCCTGCCAAGGACGCTGAAATTTTCTTGACACAGAAAGAAAACAGAGCTTAGGATGTTCTGATGGAAACTCATGAATCCTGAAGTCTCGGGAGAAGCTAGAGTACGAAAACCCAAGCAATTAGGGAGAGGAGGACCATTGTGGTCTTCCACAACATCTCCACCCATCAAGACGTGGCTGGAAGAATGTAGCAAGTGGAAAACAGTCTCTGTGAGGTTTGAAGAGGAGGATCCCATAGTTTCAGAGAGGCAGGTTTGTCGGGAGAGTGATGGGGACAGAAGAGAAATGCCATGGTCACCACAGCCTCAGTGTGATTCCACCACACCCTACGATGCCCAAGGCCAGCATGCCACTGGGACGAGCAAAACCAGAGCAGGCCCCAAGCACATGAAGTGCAATCTCCCCAAAATCAGGCCTGAGCAAACTTTCCCTGCTTGCGGTTGAAATAAATGCCGAAAACACAGGCTCCAGTGGTATCTGAGATATTTTCTTAACCAACCCATTTTAAAAGGGCTTTGGCATATCCTACCACTTTCCACATTAAAAGTGTTTTTCCTCACATTGGTGACTCATGGGATCACTGTTTATCAAGAATCT